AATGAAGCCCTCCGCTCCGCGATACCACGAACACTTAACACTATCACTTTATTAAACACTATCACTTTATTACGGATTGATATGGAACGCAATACTTTTTGATTTCAGTAAAGAAAAGTTGATATCAATCGGTTACAATAATTATTTATGATCAATTCATATTAATTTGTACTTTTCTATCAATACAGAGGATTTATATACGAGTATGTACCTACAGACTGAGGCCGTATCAATACACAATCATCATCATCAGCCTATTAATATCCCCACTGCTGGAGCAAAGGTTTTCTCTATGGGTGGAATAGGGAGATTGGGCCATGACCCACCACGCGGGCCCAGTGCGGATTAGTGGATGCTAACGACTGCAGTTACAGCCAGGACCAACGGCTTAACGGGCCTTCCGAACCACGGAGGAGCTCGAGATAGTAAATATTTGGTCAACAATCCAATGACCGACTACTGCGAAAGTTGCGATCGTAGCCGAACGCGCTAACCACTTGCGCCATCGCGCTCCTCTACGTACATAATGATCCGTCCATACTACGGACGGAGTTGTTAGTTGAACGCGCTAACCACTTGCGCCATCGCGCTCCTCTACGTACATAATGATCCGTCCATACTACGGACGGAGTTGTTAGTTATACGCGCTAACCTCTGGCGCCATCGAGCTCCTCTACGTACATAATGATCCGTCCATACTACGGACGGAGTTGTTAGTTATACGCGCTAACCTCTGGCGCCATCGAGCTCCTCTACGTACATAATGATCCGTCCATACTACGGACGGAGTTGTTAGTTATACGCGCTAACCTCTTGCGTCATCGAGCTCCTCTACGTACATAATGATCCGTCCATACTACGGACGGAGTTGTTAGTTATACGCGCTAACCTCTGGCGCCATCGAGCTCCTCTACGTACATAATGATCCGTCCATACTACGGACGGAGTTGTTAGTTATACGCGCTAACCTCTTGCGTCATCGAGCTCCTCTACGTACATAATGATCCGTCCATACTACGGACGGAGTTGTTAGTTATACGCGCTAACCTCTAACGCCATCGAGCTCCTCTACGTACATAATGATCCGTCCATACTACGGACGGAGTTGTTAGTTATACGCGCTAACCTCTTGCGCCATCGAGCTCCTCTACGTACATAATGATCCGTCCATACTACGGACGGAGTTGTTAGTTATTATCCGTCATTTCTATTAAGTTTTCATCATCAAATCGCCGCGCAAATAAATGTGTGCTCTAATGAAATGAGCCTTAATGTGCCATGCTCATGGCAAATTGATGATAGATTTTTTTTAACCGACTTCAAAAAAGGAGGAGTTTCTGTGTTCGACTGTTTTTTTTTTATATATCTGAATTACAAATATGGAGTTCCGTAATGTAACGTGAAAAATTTCAATACGCTCCCTCTCTTCTAGCATCAATGTTTCTTGCCGGACAGGACAACTTTGGTATTTTATATAAATTCTTCTCACTATGGGTTTTGCAATAAATATTGAATTAAATGCTTTTAATAATAAGTACTTTCATTCAAAAGGAATGCTTGCTACCCATTGTCACAAGTATTAAAACTAACTAACGTTCGCATCAAGGTAAGCCGGTCTCTGCTGGCTGGTCGTTCGCGAAAACAAAATGACCAAACCTTGTCGAGTACCCACTGAGTATCTATCTTGACACAGATTATACCCAACAGCAGCTGACCTATCGATGTTATAATCGATTGGTTTATATATAGCTTGTTTTGTATTAATAGTTAATAAAATGCTGAGTCAACGTCAGGGAGGTGTGGTGGTGGCGGCAGGAACCTTGGTCCTCAAGGACGCGTGTTTTGTACAAATGTCAGACGATGCCAACCGTCCCTTTCATAGCATGAAGGTTGATACGGGATTGGGCCGCCTTGTGAATAAAAAGCCTTCTGCTGGCACTTCATATATTTGATATATGTTTTGAGGGCCTCCGTGGCCGAGAGGTTTGTACGTCGCGTTTCATGGTGTCGCCGACTCGAGAGGTACCGGGTTTGAATCCCGGTGGAGGCAGATGTTTGTGTGATGAATACGAGCCATGGATGTTACTGTTATTTATATGTTCTTAATATGTATTTATTTATAACTATATTTATTTATGTACAGTATATGTAGTCTATCCGATACCTTAGTATCCCATAACACAAGCCTTACAGTGCTTACTTTGGGGCTAGGCTAATTGGTGTGAGTGTTGATAATATTTATTTATTTGTGAATTTAAGAGCACACTCCATTTCATACCGTATAGACCATGATAGTAGACGATGTCAAATTTGCAAGTAGCAAATACGAATATCCGTGCTTAGTGCTACTGACGACTGCACTCAAGTATGTATTACCTAAAAATGTGTTTCTATAAAAGTTGCGACCGGTCGACATAACGTAGGTCAGTGGTGCCCAAGTGGTATTGCTCCAAGGGCTATTTTGAAAATCCTGATACGCTACGCGGGCACCGCCAACCTAATAAAAAAACATAAGTGAATTAAAGGGAACTACTCTTTAACGACGTACTAGCGTCTTTATACCATACAGCGTAATTGTATGCAAACATTATTGACGTTTCATTTAAAAAATTTACTTACCAATGTTTATATGAAACGTCAATAAATAAATAAATTTAGTACATTAAACCGTAAAAACTAGTTTTTTTAATGAGTGATGTGCGTGAAAACCTAAGAAATAACTTGTTCGCGGGCGTCTAGAATACAGGTCGCGGGCGCCAAGAATACAGGTCGCGGGCGCCTAGAATACAGGTCGCGGGCGCCTAGAATACAGGTCGCGGGCGCCTAGAATACAGGTCGCGTACTGCCAGGTGCCCGCGAGCTACCTGTTGGGCACCACTGACGAAGGTAATGGTTAACGTTGAGGTTCGCTCGCGCGGCACACAGATAGGGTTACCAGATGATAAAATCAAAAGTCCGAAGAAAAGGCTTGATTTCCATTGAAAAATCCTGAGATTTTTTACAGTTTGAGAATTTTGTCTCAAACGTACTTAACAATTTAAAAAAGTCGTAATATTATCATTTATCACTGCTTATACTTTTAAATCAATATAATTTGAAGAGCTTAACACGTGGGGCATTATATGAACCCATAATTAAAGAAAAAACCTTACTCAAAAATGTATCTTCACATATTAAGTATGATAAAACTGATTAAGTACCGACTTGTGTAATAAAATACTGATTTTAATTGTGCAATTATTACCAATAGAAGATTATTTTTAGTTTCTTTAACTTTTTATTAAAGAGATCTTTAGAACGTAAGCTGTATTTTATTGGATATTCAAAAAATCCTGAGATTTCATGAGAATCATCAAAATCCAACCGCAATCCTGAGAAGTCCAAAAATCCTGAGATATGGTAACACAGACGTCTGCTCAGGTCGGATTGGCTCGCGGAGCAGCCGTACACAATGTAGACAAACACTTGACAGTATCTACATACCACTTTCCTAGTTTATAATACCTAGTGCATGATACCTATGCACTTGTGTTACCTACTCACAGGAGCAAACATCGTTATCCGTATCAGTGACTTGAGTTGCGGTCGACAGTATTGTAATTATAACACTTGTATTCGCGTTTACCCACCGTTCGTCGTGTGCACAGATTTAATGTTTATCATCGTAATAATGCAATATTTACTTACACTAATGAATCTTTTAAACCTCTAGATAAGATGAAAGTCAAATCACATACCTTATATATCAACATTTATAATTGAGCATATATCAGCTGCTGTAAGTCGCGTCATCCGTCATCGCAGAGGTAGGAAAGAATGACTGCATCCACGGTTGCTGACATCGCCTCCAGTAATTGGATAACATGACGCACCAACCAAGCATGACGCAACTGAGGAGAGTCGATATGTTGCAAACATGCTTGAGATGCGCGCAAGGCCTTTTAGGTCACCACCTTTAGGTGTGCAGATGACAGTTCGGTTGTTAAGAGCAAGAGTATTTTGGATATACAGGATGTAAAAAAACCTATGACAAAGACTAAAACTACGCATCCTGTACACCCAAACAAGTAATATTACAAAATATTACATGTGGGAAACATTTGTATTTTAACGTTAAAAAAAAAAACAAGTTTTATTCCAGTAGGTACTCAATCTATAGCGTGGCGCGCTACTGTGGTTACTACGTAAACAATGTTCCTGTGTGTATATGTCTGCATGTACACACATGCAGACATGACACATACAAGTACGTCATTAAAAGAGTTTTTGTAAAAATCATTAAAAAAAAATGTGACTTTGACCTTCAATATCTCCATAACCATAAATTTCCCAGGTATGGTCCAGAAGAAAAAAATCATCGTCGTGATGTGGAAAATACGTGGCCTTCGACTTCGTCAAAGGTTTTCTTACACCCTGTATATCCAAAACGTCAGACGGTCTCCGATTGATGTGGGACGATGTCAATCTGTCTAATGCTGCTTTAGATCCTGGCTTGTCTATTATTTGAGCTTATCGATGTAACGTTCGCTTCGACTCTTAAAATTTGCGCGTACATCAGTTAAGGATCCTCTAGTCAATAAACGGTACCTTTAGCCAAGCTTAGTCGAATGTCCAGAAGTTTCGTATGGAAATATGAACATCGCCACAATGGACGTAACGAGAATTTAAAATCTTCCATACAAAACTTCTTGGCATTCGACGCGAATCGAGAGCGAATTCAACTATTCGAATTCGTAATTGGTGCCTGCTTAGGGTATGGATCTGCTTAGTACTAGCTTGAAATGTCTCACTTATAAGAAAAGATATATCGTTCCAGACATAGACCTTGTATTATTATATATTTTTTTCACTACTAACTACTATTCAGACGACTACTTTAGCAAATACAGGCAAAAGCCTCGACTTCACAATTTTGAAAGGATGCCAAAAAGATGTCATTCTAACTTTGTTGTCAAGAGGATGTTATAGGGGGTCAAAAATTGGCAAAATGACATCAAAAGATGTCAAATGGCAACGCTGGTTTTAACGACCTCCGTGGCCGAGTGGTTTGTACGTCGGGTTTCATGGTGTCGCCGACTCGAGAGGTCCAAGGTTTGAATCCCGGTGGAGGCAGATGTTTGTGTGATGAACACGAGCATTTGTACTCCAGTTATGGTCATGTTACTGTTATTTACATGAAATTTCCATTATAAATACATTTATGTATGTACAGTAAGGAGGATAAGGATGTAAGGATCGCATCAGAAATGAGGTAATCCGACAGAGAACCAGAGTTATCGACATTGCCCACCGGATTAGTAAGCTGAAGTGGCAGTGGGCTGGCCATATTTGCCGAAGAACCGATAACCGTTGGGGTAGACGAGTTCTGGAGTGGAGACCGCGTCTAAGCAAACGTAGTGTAGGACGTCCTCAGGCACGGTGGAGTGACGATTTGCGCAAGGTGGCTGGCAGGAGCTGGATGCGAGTAGCCCAAGATCGATCTGAGTGGCGTGCAATTGGAGAGGCCTATGTCCAGCAGTGGACTAGGGTAGGCTGTTGATGTACAGTATCATCATCATCATCATATCAGCCGTACGACGCCCACTGCTGGACATAAGCCTCCCCCAAGGATCTCCACAACGATCGGTCCTGCGCTGCCCGCATCCAACGTTTTCCCGCGACCTTCACCAGATCGTCGGTCCACCTTGTAGCGGGTCTTCCCACTGAGCGTCGTCCGGCACGCGGTCGCCATTCGAGAACCTTTCCGCCCCAACGGCCATTGGTTCTCCTCGCTATGTGCCCGCCCACTGCCACTTCAGCTGGGCTATTCTTCGAGCTATGTCGGTGACTTTAGTTCTCCTACGGATCTCGTCATTTCTGACTCTATCACGCAGGGAAACACCAAGCATAGCTCTCTCCATTGCCCGCTGGGCGACCTTGAGCCGTCCTATGAGACCCATAGTAAACGACCATACATACAGTATATGTATTGTATCCGATACCCTAGTGTCCCATAACGTTTGGTTTGTTTATTTGCGCAGGCCCATACGCGGCATGTCGGCGGTGGTGATGGGCGCTGGCCCAGCGCACGCGTGCTTCTTCGCCACGTACGAGCACAGCAAGCAGACGCTCTCGCAGCTCACCAGGCATCGCCACGAGCACCTCACACACGGTCGGTATACTCCATACTCCATACGCAAACCTTAGATTAAAACAAAAAGGGTAGATACGGTACGCTCATACTTGCATCAAACAAAAACTGATCCCACGGCAGCGCGAACGGGACGGCGTGATCCGCGTCACTGCATTACTGACCCGAGCGAAACAGCACGTTAAGTTTCAACGGCAGCGCGAACGAGACGGCGTGATCCGCGTCACTACACTACCGACCAATCACGCGACCAGTAACTCGACGTCACTACCGAATAAGATTCATAACGAACAGCAATTTTTATGAAAAAATATATTTTATAGTACTTACGAATGAAAAGTGACGCCGTGGAATTTATTTTTAGTTCTTTTTGAGCACTTGTCAAAAACACACTTAGGCATTGTTTTATCATATAAACACAAAATATTAGAAATATTTCTTTTTGGCGTTCACATGTACGTCGTTGGCATGTCAAGTTGTGACTAAAGCGATTAGGGTCGTGGACCACAATTTATGCAGATCACTTTTGTGAGGCTAGTGCCGTATCTACCCTTTTTGTTTTAATCTAGCAAACAAAGAATGGACTGAGCAGTGTTGCCAGGTCCGATTTAAAAAAAGTCGATGCATGGAAAGAGCTGCAAGAAAAACAGATGCGGGGGTGTATTTTTCCGATTTGCACCCCCTCCCCCCAGAATTGGTAAATCAAATCAAAATATAGTCCAGTAACGAATGTGTTTCTATGGCTTTGCTACCATAAAGCTCTTTTTTTGTTAAAAACATATTTATTGTATTATATTTAAGGTTTCCTACATTTTTAATGGCAGAAACACGACGCAACACAACACGAAATTTAAAAAAAGAAAATCGTGTTCTAAGAAAAACCGTAGATTCATGTAGAGAAACAGAAGAACAGAAGACATATCAGAAAAACAGGAGATCTCCTGTAAAATCGGGAGATCTGGTCACCTTGGGACTGAGTATTCCTTAGCCAGACTTCAGATAAATTCGAACGCGACCTATTACGATCGCTTCATCTCTTTCACACTTTTCGTCTGTTGGTTGGTCGCACGATATCGCTTTTTCTCTTTCTAGAGAATAATCAGTTTCGTGCAGGTATTGTTCAGACCATTCTCTATGTCTGGGGTACACTCCCCCTATGGTAAACGCCTTGATAGCTTGTGATACCAAGGCAGGACCCTTATGGTAAGCGCCTTGATAGCTTGCGATACCAAGGCAGGATCCCTATGGTAAGCGCCTTGATAGCTTGTGATACCAAGGCAGGACCCCTATGGTAAGCGCCTTGATAGCTTTCGATACCAAGGCAGGATCCCTATGGTAAGCGCCTTGATAGCTTTCGATACCAAGGCAGGATCCCTATGGTAAGCGCCTTGATAGCTTGTGATACCAAGGCAGGACCCCTATGGTAAGCGCCTTGATAGCTTTCGATACCAAGGCAGGATCCCTATGGTAAGCGCCTTGATAGCTTGTGATACCAAGGCAGGACCCCTATGGTAAGCGCCCTGATAGCTTTCGATACCAAGGCAGGATCCCTATGGTAAGCGCCTTGATAGCTTTCGATACCAAGGCAGGATCCCTATGGTAAGCGCCTTGATAGCTTGTGATACCAAGGCAGGACCCCTATGGTAAGCGCCTTGATAGCTTTCGATACCAAGGCAGGATCCCTATGGTAAGCGCCTTGATAGCTTTCGATACCAAGGCAGGATCCCTATGGTAAGCGCCTTGATAGCTTGTGATACCAAGGCAGGACCCCTATGGTAAGCGCCTTGATAGCTTTCGATACCAAGGCAGGATCCCTATGGTAAGCGCCTTGATAGCTTGTGATACCAAGGCAGGACCCCTATGGTAAGCGCCTTGATAGCTTTCGATACCAAGGCAGGACCCCTATGGTAAGCGCCTTGATAGCTTGCGATACCAAGGCAGGAGGTGATGTTCGCGTGACTGGACTGGACTGAACTGCTGACTCGGTGATGTCACCTTGTTCTAATATATGGCCCATAAATATCCCAGATTGGCGGTTAATAGTAGGATATACATAAAGAGATGACATACTTTTCTTTACAAATGTTAGATCAGTCCGTCATATCGTGGACTTAGCGTTAGTGCACATCATGTATTCTCTAGCTCCCTTCTGCATGAGAAGATTAATGATGTAATATTGTTTTAAACTTTCATGGTCACTAACATTATAGCTATTAACGGGATTGTTACCATGTTCCTTGTTTTTTATGAGTCGCCGATATTTCGAATAATCGTGAGAATGTGACCAATGGTAGGGGTATCGAGCGCAGTAAAAGACGACGTCAGAGGGTAGACCGATATGTCTGCCAATAACATCTACCCGCAATTACTTCAGTTACTCCGTGATGATGGCGCTTGCAACAGTGCCGAAATATCGGAGACTCATAAAAAACAAGGTGCACGGTAACAATCCCGTTAATAGCTATAATGATGTAATATTGGTTAATTTTTATACAAAAACTATTGTCTGAGCATTCCACACAATGCTAGGCATTATTATTTTTTACAAGCTTTTATTTAACTTGCTATGTATGTTTGTTACGGTCAAATCTTACAACTCAATTTTAAAGCACTTGCCCTGAACCGATTAAGCTGAAATTTGGTATGCTCATTCAGTTCGGATGACAATGCATGCTTAACAGTGTGACGTCATTCTAAATCCAATATGGCGGCATACCCAAAATGGCGGACCAATCATTTTTAATGCATTCCTACAATATGGGTATCAAATTAAAGGGCTTGCTGAGAGTAACTCGAAAAAAATGTGACGTCACTCTCAATCCAATATGGCGGACTTCTAAAATTTGAAAATCTATTTAGAAACAAACTTTAACTAAATTTTCTTTTTTTCTCTTTAGCGCTTTTGAATAAAAGCTTGTTTTTAAAAAGGTTTTTGTACCTTAATTTTATTCTTAATATGCTAGAGAGCAGCGGTTTATGTGCGCCGTCATCGATGCGCTGGCGCACGCTACCAGCTTCGTTAACATACAGCGAAGGTCGACTCGCAAAAAGCGGATCACGTGTTACCACGCATGCGCACGCGCACGCGCAGGCAGATGGACGCACAATGCCACGCTACCATTCATATTGTAGTATTCTTTGAGAGCATTCTTTTATAAATTGGTGCGAGCAAGAGACCTCACGGCATGGCTTGTTGTCCCTTCCGATAGAGAAAGTCTGTGTCTGTGATGAAAGGCCCTCCTGGTCAATGAAGGTTTAGAGCAGTGTTGCCAGGTCTCCAGATTTTACAGGAGATCTCCTGTTTTTCTGAAATTTATCCTGTTCTACTGTTTTTCTACATTAATCTCCTGTTTTTTTACAATACGATTTTCTTTTTTAAATTGCATGTTGAGTTGCATTTTTCGTCATTAATAATGTAGATAACCTTAATAATTATAAAATAAATGTAATTGTCTAAAGAAAAAAAATAGCTTTATAATAGAAGAAACACATTCGTTACTGGTCTTTATCTTGATTTGATTTACCAATTCTAGGGGTGGGGGGGGGGGGGGCAAGCCGGAATAAGTACACCTCTGCATCTACTGTTTTTCTTGTAGCTGTTTCCATACATCTACTGTTTTTTTCTATAACGCCTCCCGATCTTTAAAAATCGGACCTGGCAACACTGTGTCTCAATGTAGAAGGACGCCAATAAGGACGCATATGATTACGTTCTCGGTTATATTTATTACCTATGCGGCATCGTTTCCGTTATAGATGAGTAACTCACAGGAATGAATTGTTCAATGAATATATTAATCTACATCTGTAAAGATGTCCTAAATTCAATCTCTATTCAACCCAATCTCACATCTAAACCTGTAAATATTTAACAGAAGATTTAATCTATAGATTTGATGTATGATAGTTTATACAGTGATTATAATAATGAGATTTGTATATTTCGTAACGGAGTTTTATAATAAGAAAATACCAAATGATATTGTTGTCTTTGTTACACAAACATTTATATATTACCGTAACTTCCTCACTCACAATGTTCACCTCCCGAGTTTTGTCAACATATTGTAATGCGAACCATTTAGAAAAACTGAAATGTTAGGTCTTTGCGTTACGAGCTCTGCTCAGTGCAAAAACTACTGTTTAATTGTAAGCTGAGTTAAATTTTTGTATTGGTGAAAAAATAATTTTTATGTTTTTATTTATTTTTAAGCATTTAACTACTAGATGTTTAAATCTAAAGAAAAGTTTACTAGAAAAATATCCACGCGGACCAGGCAGCGGACGGGACTCGAACCCGCACCCTTCGCAATCCGGGCGAATGCACTGACCATTATGCTACCACGGCCCTATTTGCCGCGTCGGGTTCGAGTCCCGACCGCTGCCTGGTCCGCGTGGATATTTTTCTAGTAAACTTTTCTTTAATTTTTTTTTTGATTTTGATATTATTTTGTTTTTTATTGTAATAATTTATTCCATTTGCAATACTCAAACAAACAAATCCTTGTCTAATATCAAGATCCTTAACGATACTTTATTATGAAATAATATCAAAATCAAAAAAAAAATATTTAAAGAAAAGTTTACTAGAAGAATATCCACGCGGACCAGGCAGCGGACGGGACTCGAACCCGACGCGGCAAATAGGGCCGTGGTAGCATAATGGTCAGTGCATTCGCCCGGATTGCACAAATGGAATAAATTATTGCAATTATTTGGATGACAGATCAGTCAGTAAAAATTGCGCGCATGCATGTGTTTACGTTGTGATTGCCGAGTCACCGCCCACCGCCCACCGCATCGCCATTGCATGAACCGTACCCTTAGCACGAACCAATATCGAAATCGAATAGTTTGCGAGTGCAAAATGTTCAAAGTTTGTATGAAAACTTAAACAGCAGCGGCACAAAGTACGTAACGAAAACTGAAAATCAGTACACATGTGACAATGACATTTGGTACTCGCAAACGACACGAATTCGATATTGGTTCGTGCTAGGGGTACTGGTCGGATTTCCCGATCCACGCTAATTGTTGGCGTAAATTAAATAATTTACGCGATTATAAAAAAAAGGTAATTAATTAATGATGTTTTTTGTACGATAATTTCATTTTAGATATACTTTTATCTGTTTATATAATTTATTTTAATACATTGTTAACTAATTTGAGATAGTATTAACTAAGTTTCATTTCGTGTTATGGTATTTAAGCCTGATGGTAAGCGGCGACTATTGCCTATACACGCTTACGATACTAAAAATATCACTCAAAACTCAAAATATCTTTATTTAAATGGACTTTGGTAAGTACTTTTAAATCGTCAATTCCTTACCACAGTTTCGAGACGAAATAATTATTTCACTTAAATACCTAATTATTATGCTGCTTTGTCGGAGAAGACGCTGCGAACGAAACTCCACAGCTAACAATTTCGTACTGATCTTACAACATCATTACAGGTCAATAGTTACAACAAAAAATAATAATTAAGGTACTAAAAGTACAGTTTTAGATGCGTAAATTTTGGGCAGATTTTACTCCCACGCATTTTTATCATTCAAATAGTCATTAATTTTATAATAAGCTTTTTATATAATTTAGCTTTAGAAGTTGTTTTAAATTTATTAACAGGCAAATCTCTCATACTATTTGGAAGATTATTGTAAAAACGTATACAATGGCCCACAAAGCAAATTGTTTATTCTGTGGAGACGAGTTTTATGTGCAACCAAGTCGTGTTTTTTCCTAGTATTAACGTTATGTGCATCACAATTCTCAGAAAAATGTATAATATTTTTCTTTACATATAGTAAGTTGTCCAATATATATTGTTGTGCTACAGTTAGAGTTAGAACTCGCGCTCTTGTCTCAGGGTAGACAATTACAAGTAATATATATCATGTGACCCAATCTCCCACCCTATAGAGCACTCACACCACTCACCGGCAAAAATTCAACTCCACCAAAAGTTAGTGTTATTTTACTGTACAGGAAGGTGAAGGCGGAAATTCGTTATGCTCTTCCCTCTCTTAGAGTGTATTCCGTAATATATACCAGTATACTGGCCAGTGCTAATGACGTCATGAATAGACGCTATACTGGTGAATTGTTCCGAAATATATTGACCAGTGCACTGACGTCATAAATCGACGAAACATTAAAAAGTGTGCGAATAAAGAAGATTTTTTATTCACCTCATCAATTAAAAGGAATTCTTTTTGTTCGGATGCCATTATTATTCTTTAAATAATAAAGAAATAAAATTCGAACGCTAGGTCATACGTCATATTCGTTTTCCCGGTAAAAATACGGTAGCATACCGGTACAAGATGGCGTGGGATTCGTGACGTCATTACCACTGGCCAGTATACTGATGTATATTTCGGAATACACCCTTAATAAACTGTTGTAGTTTATCTATATTGCGATACCCTGACAGGGTTTATGTTAGGTACTTTATGCATTATGTAACTTGTAACCATCCATGTAACCACATGACTGCAATAAATTGAATTGAATTGAATTGAATCTGTAAGTCCGCATGCCATCAATCTCTTATCTATTAGACAAGTCCGTCCGTCCGTCTGTCTGTGGTGCTGTTTCAGCGGCCAAACCGTAAGAGATAGATAAAGAGAATATTTAAGTTATAAGTTAAGAATAGTCTGATAAGACTACAAACCGGATTTGAGTAACGTAGCACTTCCGGTTTTCGAGAAATCACGAAGTTCAAACGAAACCACACAAAATCTCCGAAGTTCTCAATTAATTAAATACATTTTTTTTTAAATCAGGTTTTGGTGAACATTTGGTTCACTGGTTTGCTAGTTATATTATTAATACCGTAACACATTGGTGGTGTGGTGTTGCAGGCCTGTCAGGCTGCCTGGCGTCGCTGGTGCACGACGCAGTCTCCAACCCCGCAGAAGGTGAGTGCCCAATTCATTACTTGACATTTGACATCGCAACAGATAACGTTAGCCTTGTTATTACTATTGAAAACATAATTAAACTTTAATGAGTTTCTTCTTCGCTTTGTTTTAGTTGTTCTTCTTCCGTTGATTTTCGAATTAGGTCCCTCCAGAATATCAGCGTTGCAGCGGCAATCCATTTTTGCCGTTGGAACATTATGTTGAGGGAGCAACATTATGTTAGTTGACGATGTACCTTTTGTTTTATATTTTGTATATTTTTTGTTCTTTTGTGTATTTATTTAATTTATTATTATTTATTTATTTAAGTATTTAAGAAGGTATAAACCTTCTTTCTTTCTATTCGTCCACTAACTGAGGTAGTATCTTCTTTAAACAGTAAATAAAACTAGTATTTACGGGTTAATGTACTAAATATATTTATTTATTGACGATTCGCAGCCTTTTCAGGTCTGCGTCGTCAGAATAATGATTTTTTATTACCTTTGTCGAGCTACCTTAACTAGTACCTAAATTTAGTACATTAATCTGTAAAAACTAGTTTTATTTAATGAGTGATGTGCGTAAAAACCTAAGAAACAAATATTCTTTAAACAGTGTTCGAAAGTGTACTTACGACAGGCACCTTAATGTGAGCAATTTTCAATGTTAATTTTCAACTACTTATTGTATGGTGTTAGAAGACTTTACAATGGTTGTGCTGCGGTTACACTGATAGGACGCTACTGTTTAGACAAGTATTTCTTTGTCTTAGTTATTAGCCATGTTCTAGAGCTCCACGCGGTAGGAGATGGGGGTCCAGGTAAATGGAGTGGGTAATGCTGGCGCATTAGCAATCTTCGTCATAATTACACTAAGTATTAAATCGCCATGTAGCTGTGATGAGCTTGTATATTTGAGCAGGTATCATAGATGAAAGAAATGAGAAAAAAAAAATTAAATAAATGAATTCCAGAGTGAATGTGAACTCGAAACGGCTGCCCCCTCCCTCCTAGAAAAAATCCCTGACTACGACCATGAACGCTAGAAAGTACGTCTTCTTTCATACGCTGCCAAATAAAAGGTATGGAAATATTTTTACGGGTTAGAAAGGAGCTTGCTGAACGTATGCCTCGGCCTCTCGGCCTTAAACCTCACCCCGTCTCGCCCCGCGCCCCGCGTCGCGAACCGCCGGTCAATTAAACAAATAGTTGTTTGTTTTCCTCAAGTTATAATTAAAATGTCGTACACCAATTAATGTCAACAAATGCGCTGCCCTCCTTACAGCGTTATATATACGTGCGCTGACTTAGAGTCAGTGCATTTCTCAGCGACATGACTCGCGCTTGCCTCTCTTGAAGTTGATTCTAACATTATAAAGCGATTTCTTAATTAATGAATGTATATTAAATTAAAGAAATAATGTTTGATATGATAATTAGACAGAGAACCAGAGTCTTCGACATAGCCCACCGGATTAGCAAGTTGAAGTGGCAGTGGGCTGGCCATATTTGCCGAAGAACCGATAACCGTTGGGGTAGACGAGTTCTGGAGTGAAGACCGCGTCTAGGCAAACGTAGTGTAGGACGTCCTCAGGCACGATGGAGTGACGATTTGCGCAAGGTGGCTGGCAGGAGCTGGATGCGAGTAGCCCAAGATCGATCTGAGTGGCGTGCAATTGGAGAGGCCTAGGTCCAGCAGTGGACTATGATAGGCTGTTGATGATGATGATGATAATTAGTAGCAGTTTTAAAGAGAGGCAGAGCTCTTTGGAGGATTACGAGAGGAGCTCTCTACAGGTGCACGGGTGGATTGCAGTAGATACCAAGAAAATATTATCTCATGCTCATCTGTAATACGGAAGACTATTGGTCGCGGCTGCATCTTAGGTCATGACCCCCCCCCCCCTGGGCTGGGTCCATCCGTACCCACTTCACAATACACCACCACTGTGACTTGACCACGACGTTATGACGCCTCCCTGGCGCCAAAGCTGGATCCGCCCTTGCTGCATCTACAGTGGTTAACATCCAATAATCCAAAACTATTCAGTCCATAAGAAAGGCTGTTTTCCAGCAGTGGGAAAATCTATAATGACAACGATGATAATAAATGCATTATCGAGTAGATTCACAATATTCATCCATTTTTTTTTAATTTATTTATACATACATACAAAGCAATTATGTACAATAATATCAAACCAAACTGTAACTCTAAATATGTGGGCATAACATGATACAATTTTATGGACTGAAGTTTACACCAAAGAAAAATATTTAAATCGAATTTCAACAATTAAACAACAAAAATAAAAACACTTAAATAAAAGTAAAAATTAACCGATTTTCTCTTTATTTAAAAAGTATTATACGTTGGATTTCTTTCCGAAATTCAAGAAGCCGACTGCTAAAAATGTCTGCAAGGAAGAATGATCCCCATGCAGGTTATCCTATTGACGACACATATCTGTGATTGGATTATAAAAGGATGTGTTGTTTTTATTAACTTGAAACAAATTGCGTCAACCGTACTGAAAACATATTTGAAATCACATTTTCATTATTTGTGTAAACGCCACTGTCTGAATAAGGCAACGTATGCCCCCGTGTTGAGTCTCTCGCAAACACATGCGGCGTGTGCAAATACGTATTTCAATATGTAAATATGGCTTATTAAATAATGCTATTGTTCTGTCTCATTGCTATCTAATATTTTATTCTAGGAACATGAAAGAAACGCAGTTGCATTTTCTCTGCATATGGCATGTATGACGGTGTATACTGTATAAGTGATAACTATTATGTCCGCGTTACACGAGGCTAGTTTCTCAAGCTACGATTTAAGTAACAGCACGAAACTCGAGCGCTCGACTTCTGGCTTCGTGTACACAAAAGTAGCTTCATTTCTAAGCTAGTTTTGAAGCCAGGACAGATTTTAATAGGATGGAGTTCTATTTTATACACTAATAGCGCCCCCGCCACTGTTGTTGCTATCCTGGTTTGTGTAAAAGCTTCATGTGGCCGGCGAAGCTAGTTTTCAGTTGGATAGTAAGCAGGATGAATGCGTTTGGTTTTTTATCTAATAGCTGTAATATGAATTTTAGTCATAGGGTCCTTTTAATAAAATTCAACGCGCTACAATAAAATAACAAATTTATTCATGTATATTACAGTATATATTTTGAATACACAATGGTGGTTGTTTTGGGGTCTGTCAGGTCGGCCTTGGTTTCCTCACACTTCACTAGGTAAAGCGCGAATTGGCACAGTTTTCGAAATAAGAGATTTAGTTGAATAGTGTATTATTTTCAGTTCATTTTAGATGTGTGGTCAACCCAGTGTCTGCAACAGTAGAAGCTGAAAAAAATCTAGCCTCATGTAAACAGTCCCAGCATGTGCTAAGGCAGGTCAGCAAGCTAGGGCAGTTTAGTAGAGAACTAGCTTGCTATGCTAGCTTGAAAAACTATCATCGTGTAGTCCGGCCATTATTGAGGGAGTACATTTTCCATTTAAAAATCTGCATTATTTAAAGTAGCCTTATTTATGAATGTTTTACCGATTTAATTTGGCGGATTCCATAGAATAAAGCGGTTTTGATGTACATAGCCTGTTTATCTTCAATAGGGATGATAACTCATTTTTTTTTCTTCGTTTATCAGGTAGATTAGCAAAAAGTATTGCAGAGATATATTGATTTGAAAATTCGCATGACGTCACGTTTTACAATTAAACAAGTACAATTTTTACTCAAAAGTGACGTCACGAGCCCCTACTCCCAAACTTTGACGCGCTATAACTTTGTCATTTTTTGGTTGATTGCCCAAAGAAAAAATACGTGTCCATTATTTTTTGATCATCTAACTGACGGACTAGAATTTCGTTTACTGTACCCCGTCATCACCCCTATTCTATGAACAGTGAATTTGCTTATTTGCAAAATAATAATACATAAATGTTCATGTCCCAATATTTTTCCATAACCCCTGGGAGGTGAGCTTCTTTTGCTTTTCTACATTTAAAGTATAATATTCGTAGTCATTGTTTTTCTGCTTGTAAAGTATAATTTCCATAGTCCGGATGTTCATATTCAGAAGTGGATCCATACATACTTGTTCATGGGATATGTCTTACATCTATACTTAAAATATTATAAAGAGGAAAGGTTTGTATGTAAGTATGTTTGTAACGAATTGGCTCAAAAAGTACTGGACCGATTTTAAAAATTGTTTTATCATTTGAATGCTACATTATTACTGGTTATTATAGGCTATAGTTTATTTTCAAAAAAGTTAGGGTTCCTTATGAAAACTTCGATAATGTAACCTAACGTGTGTAAAAAATACCAAAAAATAGCCTTATATCGCGTACGCTGCGGAAGTCATTGACAATAGAGCAAAGTGATGTACTAAAGTTTTATAGAGGACACCAATATCTACAAAAAAAAACCGCGATACTATGTGTCTAACTATTACAGTTATGTCACAACTAGAGGTCCCCTGCGGTTTCACCCGCGTTAATTTGAAGAAAAAGGTTTATATTGAGTCAAACTTAAAATATAGACATAGGCTGTCGTGGGCTTTTTTACAGAACTTTTAAAGGGAAAGAATTCCCTCATACATGATTTTTGTGTATCGTTTACCAAGCGCACGTAACGGAATCTCAAAAATGGAATATTTTTACCCGTTTTTGCAACATTACTGGTCAATATCCTGGTAATGTATAGCCTTCCTCGATAAATGCACTGTTTAATACAAAAATATTTTTTCAAATCGGAACAACGCAATGTTGCATTCGGTACAACGGGTCCTAAACTACGCGACGATTTTTTTACTTGGAATGGAAGGTTTATAATTATTATGAAGAAGGTCATTGTGTATAATACAAGCCTTTGAACAAAAACTGTAGTCTACACCTTAGATTAAAACAAAAAGGGCACTAGCCTCACAAAAGTGATCCGCACAAATTGTGGTCCACGACCCTAATCGCTTTAGTCACAACTTGACATGCAAACGACGTACATGTGAACGCCAAAAAGAAATATTTTTAATATGTATTTTGTGTTTATATGATAAAACAATGCCTAAGTATGTTTTTAAAAAGTGCTCAAATTGCTCAAGAACTAAAAATTAAACCCACGGCATCACTTTTCATTCGTAAGTACTATAAAATATATGTTTTCATAAAAATTGCTGTTTGTTTTGAATCTTATTCGGTAATGACGTCCAGGATGGACGCGTGATTGGTCGGTAGAGCAGTGACGCGGATCTCGCCGTCTCGTTCGCGCTGCCGTTGAAACTTAACGTGCTGTTTCGCTCGGGTCGGTAATGTAGTGACGCGGATCTCGCCGTCCCGTTCGCGCTGCCGTGGGCCGTGGGATCAGTTTTTGTTTGATGCAAGTATGAGCGTACCGTATCTAC